TAGATCTTGGATGCTCTCTTCCTTGCCACTTATAGGGTGTTTGATTTGGGATTACTGATTTAACCTCCTTTTGCTGAGATTTCTATGTCTGCAAAATGAATCCAGGAATATTAACGCCTTCCACAGCTTTTTATTAGTACTATATATAGTACTATATTACTATTATCAGGACAATAATATAGAATAGATGAAAGGCTCACTGCTTCAGTGTTTAATCGGAAGACAGAATAAAGATAGCACCTTGAAAATATCTATGTAAAGTATGCAACATGTACAAAGGTAGAACAAAGAGGGTAACTTTTTGCTGAAAGAACATAGAGGAGTATAGTTAATAGGGAAGGTCTAGCCACTCAGTATATGGTGAATGAATGGTTTAAAAATATTGTGAACCAGGTCTCAGAAGACTTATTGGGTATGACCCAGCATAACAAAAGAGAGGCTAAAAAAAAAAAGTATGCTAAGAACAGAAATGGGAATTTGCTCAAATTATGAGGGGACAGGCTGGTAAGCTATGTTAAAGCAGAAGTACAGCAACAAAAGATGAGGCTGAGAGTGCAAAAGGTAGTTTAAATTTGTCACTGATCCAGTGGAGTGGGGAATCATTAGCCCATCTGTCAGGCCTAGCAGCTCTTGGCCAGCTCCCAGTTAGCTGTCAGGAAGGTTTTGAGATGTAATGGCCATGCTTTTGCCTACAATTCTTTTTTAAATTAACTTTTAGAGGAAGAGAGAGAAAGAAAAAGAGAAACACTGACTTTGTTGTTCCACTTACTTATGCATTGATTCACCCATTGGTATGTGCCCTGAGCCCTGCCTGACCTGGGATCAACCCACAACCTTCAGTACCAGGGTCTGCTACTGAGCTAACCAACTGAACTACCGGGGCCAGGGCACGCCTAGAACTTCGTGTCACACATTCCTCTCCTGCAGGGGGAGCATTTCCAAGGGCCCTAAGACCACATCTTTGAAATACTGTAAAAAGGGACACAACAGCTCTGCTTTTTATAGTAGGACGTTTTTAATTTTCTAATAATAAAAACACATTTCAGGAACATCTCTGTTCAAACTTTTTATAGCTACAAACGGTTGTTAAGTCTTTTATTAAGTAGACCCCCCCCGACACACACAAATAGAAGTTTCAAGTTTTCAGTTTGTAGTTCTGAGAGCTCGTGTAATTTTTTTGTATTTTTATGACTTTTTCTTTCTGATTTCTTCTGAAGTGGTTTTTTTGTTTGTTCATTTGTTTAGGTTACCCTCTGTTTCTATGAGCCTTCAAACCCCTGTCTAGTCTGAGCTCCTCAAGGCAGGCAAGGAATCATTTTTGTCTTCTAGCTGTATCCTTAGTATCTGCCAGAAGAAAAGTTTTGTTGTTATAGCACTAGGAGAGTACCAATAGGGTCAGGTAATGTCACTTATCTTATTTAAATTTTATCGAACTGGAGAAAGAAGTTGGCTTACTCATCATAAGTTGGTAAAACTAGAGAACTCAGGTCATAATACAGTCCTAGTTCTGTTTTAAACACTCCTGTAGTTAAAGAAATGATAAAGACTGATCCCCCCAAGCTATTATATTTGGGGCTTTTTATTTTGAGAAAATAAGATAGGCATTATTTATTACTCAAGCCCCTACTGTGTAATAATACAAACATTATCTGATTTATTCCTCATTAAAACCCTATGAAAAAGACTTTATCCTATTTTATGGAACCTGAGATTCAAATGGTTGCCACTGTGTTTTCAAAATTATGTGAAAACAATTCAACCCACAGTAAGAAATGCTGTTATACCATGACCACTGAAGAACACATAATCATGTCTTCACTGAGCTAAGTTTCATGAAACAACATTTACCCTTACTCTATTCAGTGCACTGATATCTTCTGTTCTTTTAAAGATTTTATTTATTTTTAGAGAGAGGGGAAGAAAGAGGAGAGAAACATTAATGTGTGAGAGATACATCGATTGACTCAATCCACTGAGCCACACCAGCCAGGGCCATATTTTTTATTTTATTTTACTTATTTTTTAAAAAATCCTCACCCAAGGACTTATTGATTGATTTTAGAAAGGAGGGAGAGAGACACACATGGGTGTGCGCACATCCAAGTGAGACAAAACACTGAGCACAGTGTACAACTTAGGTCACGTGCCCCGACACGATCAAACCCACAACCTTTCAGCGCACAGGAGGATGCTCCAACCAACTTAGTCACCTGGCCAGGGCTATTTCATTTCACTTTTTTAAAACTTTTGCATCTTGCTAAATCAGTTTCACAAACCACTAATAGGATACAAGCAACAGTTTGAAAAAACTGGTCTAAATTTTCAAAATCTCATGGCAAGTGGTAAAGCTAAGAGTTGAACTAAAGTTATGCTCTTCCCAGCAAAAAATTTTCCTCATCAGCATTTAATAAATACTGCTTTATTAGTTATGTTATGCTTGATTTTAGGATGGAGCCAGCAGGATGATCCTACACAAAGGAGTAGACCTCCTGAGGAAGTAGAACATGAGACAAAACACTTAGACAAATATATAATGGCATTAATTCCCATTTGGTATGTGAGTGGACATAGCATTTGCTTTCATTTCTTCTCTTCTTTTAAAAGATTTTATTTACTTATTTTTAGAGAGGGAAAGGGAAGGAGAAACATCAATGTGTGGTTGCCTCTCATACGCCCCCTACTGGGGACCTGGCCTGCAGCCCAGGCACATAACCTTGACTGGGAATCAAACCGGCGACCCTTTAGTCCGAAGGTTGCCACTCAATCCATTGAGCCACACCAGCCAGGGCTTCATTTGCTCTGATTTCTAAAGCAACTTGTTATCCACAAAAATGGGCAATAAATTCATTTACCTGGGGCCATATACTAGACTGACTGTTTTGGTTTAATAGCAAAATCTTAATTCAATTTCAGTAAATTATAAATTATCTTTAACTTCATTTATGATAGGGCTAAAATGAAAGGCGATGACACTTGGAGAGAAAGGGAATGGGTAACAGGGTATTGGGAGAGAATAAGGAATGGTAGGCAGAGAGGAAGCAGGATAGTCCTCCAAATCTTAGTTTAGCCCTTCATCTAGTGAACTGAAGACTGCCTTTACTACAGAGTAACTTGTTTCCTGTTAGATTTTAAAGTAGAGTAAGTTTTTAAAACAGACTACTTAAAAACCCTGTAACATTCATGTAAATCTCAAAATCACCCTTGGCCTTGTCTCCCAAAGTGAATGGATACATTTCAAACCCAGTCATGGTAAAGAGAGTATTTCCTTGGATGCTTCTATCTATCCTATTACCAGTGGTTTACTTTCCCATGTCTCCACGTCTGCCATCTCTAATGTGTCAGCAGCCTTGTCCAGTCCCTCATCCCCTCCCGCGTGGATAATGGCAACAGTTGCCCGGCTGGTTCCTTTTGACTCCAGTTCTCCCATCCTTGAATGCAAACTTTATACCATTTATACTTTCATCCAATCAACAGGTAACGGTAACAGCTGTGTTGTTCTAGTTTATTTCTATCGTTCATACACATGCCCTCTGCCTGACAGGTCACTTTACTGGGTTGTACTGTCATGCCTACACTACCAAACCCCTGCTTTTCCCAGACTGCCTTCCTGTTTCTCACCTATCTAAAGTCTACTTACCTTAAAGGCTTAACTCAAGACTACCTTGTCCATGAAGCCTTCCCAAATTACTCAGCCCAAGATGATCTCTCTGAATATACATTCAGCTTTTATGCAGTAGTTAAGTATCATGATTTAACTCTATTTTTCTTTTCTTTTTTTTAAACCACGTGTTATGTCTTTCTGTTCTTGCTTTATGAGGTAGACTCGTCCAGCTAAATGCCTACTCACCTCTTCTGGGAAGTCATCCCTGATCCCAGTCTGAGCTGTGTGCTATTCTTCTGGGCTTCCACAGCTTTCTGTGCTTACTGTTAAGTGACACACTGTGCTGTGATCATTACTAACTTGAAGACAGAGCCTAAATCAACTAGGTTCTAACAAATGCAAATGTGCAAATGCCCAGCGCTTAAAAAACAAGAAGGAAAACAAAATCACAATAATCAGCTCCTACTCCTGGCAGTATGGATGAGAAAAGGCTTTCCCAGTAAAATACTAGATCCTGGACAAATCACAGCAGACATATTTAGCACATTGCTGAGCCTGCTAGAAAGGGAAATCAGAAAAAGAAGAAAAAAATTACATTAAATTGAAACCTGTATGAAGGACAAACAACATGCAGTAGGAAAAGCAGGTTTGTCCCAGTACAAACACCAATACCTGTATTGTGAACACAAGCTAACCACTGGGCCTAGCCAAGGAAGGGGAGAAACCTCACACTCCTGAATTAAATTGGGACTCTTGAAGGAGCTGACACAGTCCCAGGTCAGAAACACCCTTTGGCTCCTGGCAGAAGCCAATGCAAGTCCCCTCTGTAGGTAGGTACCTACAGTTTAGGCTGTTTGGATTCCTAAAGATGAAGTTTAACAAAATATGAGCTCAAAATCCAAGAAGATAAAATATACAAGGAAACAAGCTACCACAGGCAAAACAAAACAGATTTTAGACATCCAAGATAAGTTACAGAATATAAAATAACAATCAACAATCCCCACAAATTTCAAAGAACTGGTATCACAGAGACTACATTCTCTGAGCACAAATGATTAAACTAAGAATATCAAAAAGATAAATTTTTAAATATCCAAACACTTGGAAATTAAAAAACTTTGTGAAATAATTCATGAATCAAAAAAGTCATAAAGGTAAGTTAAATGTTCTTAGAACTAAATAATAATTAAAATATTTTACAACGGGAAAACCTGGGGAATGTAGAGAAGCAGGTGCTTAAAAACTCAGTAGAAAAAAAAAGCTTGAAAATTAATGTGTCAAAATTAAGATGTTATAAAGTAACAAAGTTAAATCTAAAGAAATCAGAAGGAAATACTATAGAAAGTCCATAATTAATGGTAAAAACAAGCGCTAGCAGAAATGAAAAAGAGGGTGCGACTACACAAAGCACAAATACAAATTTCATCTTAAAAAAGACATAAAATGCACAAAATTCTAAAAAGACACTTTTCCTAAATTGATGCGAGAAGAAATGGAGCCCTGGCTGCTGTGGCTCAGTGGATTCAGTGCTGGCCTATGAACCAAAAAGCCACCGGTTCCATTCAAGGTCAGGGCATGTGCCTGGGTTTCGGGCTGGGTCCCCAAGGGGCACGCCAGAGGGAACTTATTGATGTATCTCTACCACACTGATGTTTCTCTCTCTAAAAAGTAAATACCGTATTTTGCTGTGCATATTGTGTACCTTTTTGCCCAAATTTTTGAGAAAAAAACATAAGAATGCACATTATACATGGGCATAATGATTACATGCCATAAGAATGATCCCACATATAATGCGCACAAAACTGTAGGTGTACATTATACATGGCAAAATACAGTAAGTAAATTTTAAAAAGATTTAAAGAACTAGAAAGCACAAATGGCTTATAATTTTTAAAGAGACTGATGAATCAGTAGTAAACATTTTTCCCAAAAAGAAATGGCTCAAATGGCTTAACAGGTGAGTTTTACCAAATTTTCAAGGGGTGGTTCATTTCAATCTGATGTAAACTCTTCCAGAGAAAAAAGTCCCCAATGCACATGGTATAGAGACTTAAAGAAGCATCTTAGAAAACTTTTTAGAAATCCTGCGAAAAACAAAGGCACTAACCTGTGTAAGAATATTCATAGCAGCATTGTTTATAATAGCAAAAAACTGGAAATAGGCCCAAGTCCATCGATAGGTGAATGGGTAAGTAACTTTTGGTTTATGTACTTGATGAAAATGAATGAATCATAGCTATCTACAGTATGGATGAACCTTGGAAAAAATGTGAAGTGAAAAAAGCAAACTACAGGGTACTTTACTATTTGAGTATAAAATTTTCATAAAGCTAAAAGCAAAACTGAACAATACATTTTTTGAGGATATATATATATATATAGTAGGTAACTAATAAACACAAAATTAAAGACAGTAGTTGCATCTAGGGAGAGGTAGGGTACAGGGCGGGGGAGGAACACAAGGAAGTCAATGATACTTCTAATGTTTTAATGTATAAGTTGGGTGATGGGTCATAGGTAGTCATTTAATTATTATGCTTCATAATTTATTCATGTTAAATATATTCTTTATAGATATCAAACATTACATATAATTTTTAAAAATCTGCTGTGGTGGAAGTAAATGAACAAATGAAGTCTCCCTGAAAGAAAATCTGTATTTCTTGGGAAGAACCAAGATTCCCTGACAGAAACTACCCTACATAGAAGACGAAGTAGGTCCTTGATAAATATTGGTTGGTTTACTGGTCTTCCCAAAGATCCCCCTGGAGGGTCTGGATTCCCTTCCACTGGTACTACTCCCTGATATGCAGACACCTCCTTCCGTACAGCCGCCCTAAACCCCACAAGCCTGGTTAGTCCTGACGTGTGAGAGACTGACACCTGGTGGATACAGAATGAATTTAATTAAGTGACTAGAAGTAAATCTCACTATTCAGTAAAAGTGCAGTAGGGTGGGAGATAGGGAAGCAGAAATGAGGAGAAACTGAAGTTCAGAAACAGGAAAAGGAAGGAGCTCCATCTTTGAGCCATAGGTGGAAAAAAGGGGAGAGGGGAGATTGTCATCTAAATGAGACTGAAGAGATAGTCCATAAAGGACAATGACTTCCCTCTCATTCCTTCTGAGACCAGAGTAAGAAGAGTGACAGCTGCAGTAAGAAAAATGCAAAACTATGAGGATAAAAGCAGGTACAGCTGATCTCAACCTAGCAAGCTAAAACCACAGTACTTCATAGTAGTGGCCAGGTGTCAGATGCCTCCCCAGGAACTTCCCCCTCCCAGTTTGTAAGGAGTGAGGAAGATAATCCCACCCTTTATTCCACAGGTGCATTCCCTGATGTAGAATAAGCAAACCAGCATATATCATCTCCCTGGCCACCGGGATTGGTTAGGGGTGGACATGACACGAGTTGTCCTAATCAGTGAATCAGAGGTTTTTTGCTAGGATTCCTGGAACAAAGATGCCATTTCTGGATGGACGTAAATGATGAAACATTGTAATTGTGTCCTAGGAGTGCTGGCAGCCCCAAGGCAGCCCAGGATTCCAATGATCCCACAGAAGGTGGAAGAGCAGGGGTGGGGAGGCATGGAGGAAGTCAATCGGGTATTTAGAGACATTCAGAGCCACCGGACCAGCTTTACCTGGAGCCAGCACTACCTCTGGACTTTACATGAGCCAGGAAACTTTAAAGTCAGTTAGAGTTAGGTTTACTACACCTTAGAACCAAAAGATCCCTAACTATAAGTTCATCATATCACTCCATTCCTGTGTTCCCACAGGATATAGCACAGGGATTCAGGTAAGGTCATTACAGGTTAGTGACTCTAAAACCAAAGGTATTGAGCGGAAAAGGTCAAGGATAGGAAGCAGGCACTGTCTAAGACAGAGTGCCTCAGCTGTCTATACAGAAGAGCATGAATTCCCTTCAAACAAGAGCCAGAGGAAAAGCAAGTGAGGTGAAGGGCTTCTATGAGGCAGGCAGATAAGTTAGTTCACATCTGGATATAAGTGCTCTTCTCCACATACTTATCATGGGGGTATTGCTTTGGGTTCTTTCTGCTCATGGGATGAGGAACTTTGAAGTGTATGCCCCTTTAAATCTTTATTACCCTGTGCTGCAGTGTCGACCTTTCCCTTTTCCAAATGAAGAGCATCCTTTTGGCTTCTACTGCCCCTGATGACACTCACTTTTGGGGTGACAAGAGGAATTTTTTCTCCTTTGGCATGGCGGGAACTGGGGCCCCTTCCTCCTTTGGAAACAGCACCACCTTCCTGACCCTGGGCAAGCACCATCCCCTTCTCAGCCTCTCCCACTGGCCCTGGCCTCTCTGACCCTCCAGCTGAATTGTCTCCCCCTCCAGAGACCCATGTCTCCCGTGGTAACCTTGAGGACTGGGCAGAGTCCATGGCAGCTGCTGACTTGTCAGGGGTAGAATTTCTTTCCCTACTTCCTCCACCTGATTTTTTTCGAGGGCGCCCCCGTTTTCTTTTGGCATCACTCCCTGTACCCTCTATATCCTGCTTTGCTGCTTTAGCTGGTGGGTCCTGCCCATTGGCCTCACTCATAGGTACTTCAGCTGTCCTCTTGACAGCCTTGTCATGAGGTCCTGGGTCCCCACCTATGCCTACCTCCCTACTTTCTGTGCTCTGTGGCTGAGTGAGCCCCCCAGGTGGAGCCTGCCCAGGTCCAGGCAAAGCAGGGACAGTTGGTAAGATCATATTAATGATGGGCACAGCTGCCTGGGACCCCCTAATCCTATTGGACACAGGCAGTGGAGTCAACTTCAGAGTGCCTGAAGGAAGCTTGGGGGCCACCATGGTTGGAGAGACGATTTGCGGAATAAGGGAGCGAGGGGCCCGGGGGAGGAGAAGAGGCAGGCGGGCCATCAGGGCATTAACCTGCGGGTTATTGGCTGCTGGGGTTGGACTCTCTACTATGCTCTTCTTCCGCTCGCTCCGTGCTGGAGGACCAGACCCAGCTCGGGATTCCAGTTCCTGAGGAGGCTAAGAAGTAAAGAGAGGAACACAGTAAATGAGAAGACTGGACATTGGAGGAAACGTAAGCACAGGAAGTGAAAAAGTATGAGACCCATGGGGGAAGGGTATATTAAGCACCAAAGGCCAGGGCAGCAAGGTCAGGGGTATCAACGTCCTTACCTGGGTTGGTCTCTCTGGTTTCTTATGGGCTCCACCCTCTAGATTCTCTACATCATTCTTAGATTTAGATGATCGCTCCCGAGGGGCATGTTCATCCTCTTCTGCAGAAGTGCCAGAAAAGATAGTAAGGTGAAGGGGGAACAGAATGGGAAGTGTGGCAATTCTGACTGGTAGAGGGTAATAGAAAGAAGGTGGTCCAAGGCATGTTCTAGAAGGGTTTCCAGGAATAAAAGGCAAATCCCAGGTGTCTCTACCCTAGCATGTGGGAGAGCTTTTGAAGTTCAAAGTAGCTGAGGGTTTCTCAGGACAGAGGACAGGGTTCACCCACCAGCAAGTCCCATGGCTTTGAGCACATGGGCATGTGCAGATCGGGCTGAGATGAGATGATGCTGCAGCAGGAAGCGGGCGACCTCAACAATGGAACTGAAGGACCGTTTCAGGATTCGCTCAGCCCAGTCACAGGTCAGGGCACAGGCTGCCTCAACCAGTTCATCCCGAGGTGCTGGGGTTACTTCTGAGCCCATTTCTGGCTGCAGTGGGGAAGGACAGGCCTCATAATACTCTGGACTAAAGGAACTTTGGCCCCTCTTAAATATCCATTGTTGGCTACAGTAAGTCCAGATTGGGGATGGGAGTAGCCTGTCTCAGAAACTCACATGTTCTCTTCATCCTCTGCCTCAGCCATACGGGGGGCAGAGGGCATATCCTATATACCCAGAAGCTATGTGCAGAATCACCTAGTCTGTGTCAGTCCTCAAAACATGTCCCAAAGACCTCTGACTTCTACCTTGGAGAGAAGAGTGCAATCACAGGGTTGTCTGTTACTTACACTCTCAGAGCCCTTTAAGTCAAGGCCAGGCAAGGGTGGCATAGATACCAAGGTCTTTCTTCGTATGCCACTGTAGCAATATCTGATGGGATTTAAGGAGAAACCAACAGATGGGGCTCTCTAAGCCCCTTAAGGGAGGTTGGGCTGTTTCCACTCCTGGCTCTCCGCATCCGTAAGTTTTCCTCCCCAGGTCCTCCAGCCCCACCCTTTCCAGTCAAGGATACTTGGACTGCCCCCGGCCACCAAGCCTTCGGGCCTTGATGTCAGGGAAGATCTCTCTGATGATTTTGCCAAAGTTGGCTGTGCTGAGTGGGCGGCAACAAGCGAGGCTCTCACAATACTTCCTGGGGGGGGGGATTGTGCAGAATGAGAAGGTACTCAGAGAAGAAGGTCATGGTGGGTTTAGAGGGTCCCTGGGGATGAAGTTTGGGAAAGCCTTTTTAAGAAGTCAGGCTCTATCAAGGCAGGGAGCTCTGCAAGGGTAAGGGGTGGTCCTATGCCCACTCACCCACCCTCCACTCCCCACATCCACCCACCGATAGGCATCATAAACACTTTGCTTTGGCAGACAGGTGTCAGTATGCTCTTCTAGGTGGTTGCGGATCCACCTATAGGCATACATGTACTCCTCATTGCTAAGTGTACTTGGCTCTGAGCTGCAAGAGAGTAACAGAGAAAACCATTACTAAATTCCCAATAGTTGTCCTGGTTCTATCCAGACTATCACTTCAGCAGTGCTGGACCAAATCACTTCCCTCAGAATCCACCTTTCTCTGGTAAACCAGTTGCAGGTCAGGGGCTTTTCTTCTTGATCAAGGACAGCCGTGATGAGGATTCCTATTCACCCACCCTTTCCCAGTAAGCCTTTAAGAATCAGAGCCTCTTACACTGCATCAAGAGCCAAGGTGCTAAATAAAACAATTAGTTTATTTTAAAAAATCAGAATCTCTGACATCTAAAAGTCTAGCACCAAACATACCTTTTGTCTCCAGTACTGGGCCCTGAGGGGAGCTGAAGGTAGAGATACAGCTTGTCGTTGTCTGAGAATTTCTGTACATCTTGCTGAGGTAGAGAAGAACAGAGGCAGGAGAAATAATAAGGCCAAGAAGGACCCAAGGTAGGACCCTCTGACCCTTACCAAAAAGTCTAGCTGACTTCGAGACTGTCAGACTGAAAAAAAAAAAAAAAGACCTTAGTGTGATTTGAAGCTGGGTGCTCACTGTGCTCTGAGGAGTCCTTAGGGGCCACCATGGTTGACCCCTTGGTGTCAGAGGGACCAAGCTGTCAGGGGGAGCAGAGGGGATTGGCTGTGAATCTATTTCTCTGGGCTTCTACACAACAGGTCCCAGAGAGATGAAGTGAGATGCTCAAGGTCAAACTGGTAGTATATTGCAAAGCCAATTATCTTCTGACAGGGGAGAAAACATGGCCTCTCCCACAAAACCTTTCATTGGCCCATTGCCCTCACCATCCTCATCCCCCACTAATTCCATCTCTCTATTGCCCTTCTCCCCAAAATACTTACCAAGATTCCCTCTACTTTGTTCTGCACGGCTTTACTGTGGAGAAGAGGAGAAAGCTGAAGGTCAGACACAAAATTTTTCCCCATTCTGTGTCTGAATGCTAGGGAGAGGAAGAGGACTCAAATGTCTGGCAGGTGCTCAAGAATTGCTACCATGTGAAGAATCTCCCCCTCATCAGATGCACTTGCTCAGGGAGAGGCAGTTCATCTACAGAGGAAGTGAGGTACTACAGGGATCTACACCCAGGTCTGGAACAAGATTTGGAGGTGGTCATGAGTACTTACGAAATGGTACCCCGCAGCCTCTGAAGAAGGGTGGTAGGTTCTCCTGCCTCAGCACTACCTGAGGGGGCCCTTCCTGTAGTCTTTGGGCTCTTAGCATCAGGTTCATCTTCTGCCATACTGGCATGAGGGCTAGAGTTGACAGGAGACAGGACATGAAGATTTAACTTCCCTTCCCCCAGAGACCCCAGGGCACTCATCTCTCTAACCAGAAAGAGAAACAAACAGAAAGAAAGCCTCCGAATTTCTCCAATGCTTTTTCTCACCACGTGCCTTACCCCAAAATTACAAATTATTCTATTACTTCTCCAGGCCCATATATACCCCAAAAGATCTTTGCCATCTCCAGTCTATCTGCCCCACCTTCCTGCAGTCTCCTATATGTGGAAAACTGTAAAGGAAGAGATAGGGGAATTAGGAATCCACGTAAGAAATTTTCATTTCTGATTCTGACCTCATACTGCCCTCTTCGCCCTCAAAAACAACAACCACAAAACAAAGTTATCTAATTCTCTGATATAGGTTCACCAATGAATTTGCCTGGGAGGTCAGAAAGGACACGAACATGTCCTGCTCTTCTGGGTTAGGAAAAAACTGGGCCCAAGTTCTCATTACTTAATCTTGCCACTGCTTCCCCCCGCCGCTCCCCCTCCCCATGTCGCCGGCCCCTACGTCATCTCCCTCAACATCCCATCCGGATGCGCGCCCCCACCTCCCACCCTTCCCCCTCTATTCAATCCCGGGTTGCTGTGAAGTAGGGGGTTCGGGGTAGCGGAACTCCCGGGCTGGACGTAGGGAACCCGATTGGGGAAATGAGGTCCCAGATTCGGGGCACGTGCACATGGGTGAAGAAGCTGTTGAAAATACAGCTAAAATCTTTTTCTGCTCTCCTCCCAACTCATATTGCCCCCTCCCACCTTTGAACAGTCGCCTTCCCGCACAAGCAACAAAAAAAGGTAAGGGAGAAAGAGAAACTACCTCGTAGCCACCTTCGCTCCAGCCCAGCCCCACGGTCCTGGCCCGGCGGGCTAGTGCGTTGCTTTATTTTCTTTTTTCTGAATGGCTGGAGCAGCCCCGATCTGCCTAGATACTCCGACAGCCTGCTGTCTCATTGGTCGTTGCTGCCACCAGGAGCCAGAAGGCGCCGAGTTCTCACAGGCGGCAGAAAAAGTCTGCCTGGTAACAGAATCTGATTGGTCAATAGGGGAGGGAAAATCCAAAGTTGGTCTTATTTGAGTCAAGAGGGGGAAGTCCGGGTTAGGTTTCGGTTAAAACTGGGGTCGGTTGGGACTGCCGGTCCCAAGAGGTTCTTCTCTTAAAGGGACCGCAGGACGAAAGCTTGGTTTCCTTTGGAGCTTCCTTTTCCTTTGCTCTCTCCTTTCGTGTTTCACTTTTGCCTTTGGTTGTGAGAGCTACTGGAAGAAAAGAACCAGTGGATAATAAAAATAACTGGAAAATTATGGGTAGTAGTGATGGAAATTCGCCGTAAGCTCACATAACCCCCTTTTTCATGAAAAACATGTTGAACCATCCCCTCCCCTGCCCCAGCCACCATATATATACAAGCACTCACAACAAACCTGCCAACAGGCTCACTGTCCTCAAGACGCGCGCCTGGAAACCTCAGCTGCTGTACTACAGAAGCTGAATTGTATGCTCAAATGCTCTTAGTGTTCCTTGTTTCCCGTATGTACTTCATTTCCTTACAAAGAGTTGCTAATGTATTTGCAGCCCCATAATGCTGCACTAATGAACACTAGAATTTTGGCTGACAACCCCCACCCCCAATCTCTCCCCCTTCACCCCCTGCCCCGGGGGCAGGGGAGAGAAATGATTTGTTCCACTGATCCATGCATTTATTTGCATCGATGAGTGGTTGATTTTTTTTTTAAATTATTGATTCGAGAGAGAGAAACATCGATTTGTTGCTTCACTTATTTATGCATTAATTGGTTGCTTTTTGTATGTGCCCCGACTGCAACCTTGGCATATAGAAGGGAAGCTCTAACCAACTGAGGTATCTGGCCAGAGCTCAGATGAACTTTTTACTCTCACAGAACTTTGAACTGAATAGGTCATGGGTTCTTAACCCTCTTAGTTAAGACTTTTTAGCTCATGAATCAGATGAAAGCAATGAACTGTGAAAACTAATAAAGGAAATTTCAAATATAATTGGAGTCTAAACTGTCTCTGGAGGGAGATCTCTTACCCTACTACTCATTGTCAATTAATCCAAACAGGAATAGATGAGACCTTGCATCTACAAATGAAAGGTGTCTTACTCTACCACCCTGAAGGGGCAAGGATGATTTTCTTCTAGCCCAGCAACAAGCCCAGCCAATGGGAAAAATGCAACTCAGCCAATGAGAAGCCATTGTCACCCCCCAATAAATTTCCATTTTCTTTTCTGATGACATCCTTGACCCACCTCCTTTCTATAAAAGACTTTGATTAAAATTTTTTTCAATTATTTAGCCTTCATGTAGTTGTGTGTTTTTCAATTTTTTCCTTGTAGTTGATTTCTAGTTTAATAGGATTGTGGTCAGAGAAGATGCTTGATATACTTTCAATCTTCTTAAATTTATTGAGGCTTGTTTTATGGTCTAACATGTGGTCTATCCTGGAAAATGTTTCATGTTCACTTGAAAGGAATATAAATTCTTGTGTTTTGCAGTGAAATGCACTGAAAATATCAATGAAATCCATCTGGTCTATGTGTCATTTCAGACTGCTGTTTCCCTTTTGATTTTCTGTCTGGAAGATCTATCCACTGATGTCAATGGGGTGGTAAAGTCCCCTGCTATAATAGTATTTCTGTCGATCTTTCCCTTTATGCCCATCAATATTTGCTTTATATATTTAGGTGGTCCTGGGGTGGGTGCATAAATGTTTACAGGAGTTTTATCCTCTTGTTGGATTGAGTTCTTTGTCATTATGTAATATCCTTCTTTGTCTCTTACTACAGCTTTTGTTTGAAAGACTATTTTGTCTAATATGAGTATTGAAATCACAACTTTTTTTGTTTTCCATCTGTGTTAAATATCTTTTTCCATTTCTTAACCTTGAGTCTTTGTGTGTCTTTTGAGCTGAGCTGGGTCTTTTGTAGACAGCATATGTTTCCCAGTCACCCTTGAAGCAGTATGACCCTCTAGTGGTCTTGTTTTGAAGGTGAGCTTGGCAAAATTTAAGACTCAATGTCACAGGCATGAGCAGCCATGTACTGCCCTCTGATGGCCAAGTGAGTCATGGCATTCGTGTTATGAAACTCACTGTTCTGTCAGCAATAAAAGACCACACAGCAAACTGAGACGCCTTCCCAGGCTTGCCATTAGAGCAGAATCAATTCTGTAAGAGTCAATGTTTTGGGGTGGCTTGCAGTAGGAGTTATCGTCCTGTCATTACTGGACAATATAGTCCTCATCCTAAGTTCTGTATTTCAGAGAGTGTGAATTGAGCTCCTGAATCAGGCTTTGAGTTGTAGAACACAAAATACAGACCAGGTTGAAACCTGTGGACCTGCATGGGGCAGGGGGTGGAGAAGTATGGTGATAACTGGTTTACATTACAGTGCTTTATGTCAAGTTGAAGATAATAGTACATGCAACCAAAGCATATTATCGATGTATTGATGGAAGCCTTCTGATTAAACAAAAACATTTTAGAAAATCAGAAAACTACCCCTCAACATATTTACATGCTTTCATCTAGACATAGAGTTAGTCCAAAAATGAGGTCACCTTATATTCCCAGTCACTTTTAATTTAACAGGAATGATTATCCTTTTCCTTCAATATTTTTGAATCTATTGGATTGGTTCCATAGTATTTCTTATTATGTGTTATACACAACTGACCTGCTTCTACAGTTCCTGCTGCTGTCTTCCTCTGTGTACCATATCTTGTTTATCTCTGAAAGTGGAGTTCAGTTACTATAAACTCCAAAACTAGAATTATTCATTGAACTTCCAGGGCACATTCACTCCAGGGTGCTGGGCACTTCATGCCATGTGTTAGTTCCTTCTTCATATCAGGAGCTTCTCCCAGCTCAAGCAGCTGCTCAGTCCGATCTCCATCCAGCTCTCAGCACAGTGCTTGGCATATGGTGAAAACTCCGTAAAGACTTGAAAAGCCCAATACTTCTACATGAGTTCCTCATTGTGTTGGAGAACTTTAACAAAATCCATTGTCCCATTTTGGGCCACACAACTGGATGGTATTTTCAGTCACCTTCGAGGCAAGATGACCCTGTCACTGCCAGTGGAAGAGGACAGGAATGACGAGTGCCATTGCAGACCCGGCTGACACAATCCCCCACCGTGTATTTCTCTCAGTTCTGTGCCCTCGGACTGATGAGCTGACATCCTGGGGATGGAGAAGGCACGTGATGGACCATCTCTGGGTTCCAAATGAGCAGGTGAAGGGGTGAATCTCTCCAATCTTGTTATGTGGGGAATGTATAGGGACGTGCTATAGAATTTTTGGGGATTATTCGGTAATTTAGCATAATTTAATAACCACAAAAGGTTTGAATCATAACATTAACTTCAGGAGTTATCAATCTAGTTCATATAAATGGCCAACTTAATTTAACTGTACAACCAAGGTGGTCAGTGGTGGATGGATCCTTCTATATGTTCACTTAGCCACTGTGCCCTGTGCACTCAAATTGTGCTAAAAAATACCAAGTTCGCTTCCCTCTAAAAGCTGACAGTCTGGAAGGGAAGGTGGACACAACCACGAAAACACAAACATGCGAAGGGAAAGAACAACTTCTGTGTGGAAACCGAGCAGGCGCTACGAGGAGGCCCGGAGGCCACTGGGTGAAGGGCTAACAATCCGCACTGAGCTGACATTTCTATTCCCAGCAGCATGACCAGGAGGAGCCAGCCTGCACAAACTCAGGCCTGTGCAGCCTGGCAGAAAGCACGGCTGTGCAGACACTTGGAGGCAGAAGGAGTCTGGACAGAGAGGAGGTTAGAAAGGAGGTCGGTGTGGCTGTGGGAGCCTGGGAGGAGGCGGGGGAGGGAGGGAGGAGGGCAGGTCCAGGGCCTGGCACAGAGAAAACCGCACTAGTGATCTACTGCTGTGTGACAACATTGCCCCACACTCACTGACATAACCAGCACTTATCATCTCACGGGTTTCCTGGACGAGGGACCCAGCGTGGCTCAGCTGAGTGCTTCTGCCAGTGCCTGTCAGGAGGCTGGGGGTGCGGTCTCACTTGAGGCAGGATCTGCTGCACTCAGGACCTGAGCCTACTGGGGGTGTTGGCAGGATTCAGTTTGGATGGAAGG